AGAAATCTTACAGAAATTTAATCAACCTTTGAGCCTACTGTTCCTCTATGAGGACCTTTAATTGGTTATCAAAATATCTATTTTATTTAGTCATGTGAGGTAATTATGTTATTATACTAGTAAATTTAGTTTATTGCTGATTAAATGAAATTAGGGGGCTGGTGCTATGGTATAGTTAATTAAGCTGCCGCAGGCTTGGCCAACATCCCATATGGTGCTGCTCCACTTCTGATCCAGTGCCTGCAGTTGCACCTGGGAAAGCACTTGAAGATGACCCGAGAACTTCGGAGACCCAGGGGAAGCTCCTGCCTTTGACCCTGGGCCAGCACTGGCGGCTGCAGCCTTTTGGGGAGTGAACAAGTGGATGAAAAATCTCTTCTCTCCTGTCTGTCTCTCTCTCTCTCAGTAACTCAGCCTTTCAAATAAGTAATTTTTTTCTTTTTTCTTTTTTTTTTTTTTTACAAATAAGTAAAGTTCGTTGTTTCTCTTTTCTCAGATATGTTTAACAAGCTTTTGCGTCAGGTTTATGCTAATGAACTCCATAAATGGAATTGGATAGCTTAATATCTGTTTATGTGTTGTTAAAGCCCAGCTAGCGTGAGAACCATCTGTTCTTTAGAAGTGTAAGAGCTGTTCATTTTAAAATCTGACTGTAAAGCTTCTTGAAGGCCATTTCTGATAAAACTTATTTTTGTTGGTTTTATTTGGAGAAGTTTGTACTACATTGTTGAAAGTAGTAGATGACATGCTAAACAATACAAAACTCTCAAAGACTGAATTAAGTCCTTTGGCTTACTGTATTATTAATATTCTAGGTTGTTTTGAAACGAGTGTATTTTGTGGTTTCTTGTAAACTTTAAAATCTCAAGTTTAACTTGTCACCACTACTGGGACTATTAATTATTGATAAGAATTACGGTTAGTTTATGGTTAGTAAGTTTTAAGTTGTTTTCTTGGTTTTTCCTTTCACTATTAGTCATTTTTGACATTTTAATACAGCATAGCATAAAAGAGAGTAAATTAAATTTCACCTTGTACTCTTCACTTACATATAGTAGAGAAACTGTAGCAATAATAAAATCAAAGGTTAAAATGTGCAGCTTTCTTTGTCCTGTTTAATATAACCTGTAACAAAACAGCTGTCCTAAACAGTAGCATCCTTGCAAGTGGCACAATACCAAAAGTGTGATGTGAAAAGAGTTCAAAAAATTAAAGCAGAAAGTTTTTCAACCTGTTACATTTTAAGGGCGGAGATCCAGCTCTGCTAAAATGGAAACAGCTTCAGTGCTATGCATCTTGAAACATTAGCGCACAGTGCATTTGAAAGAAGAGCTAACAAAGATTCCATTCATTTATGTTATTATTTTACTTCCTATTTGCTTGACCCTGGCCTACCTATTGCTACATGAATGTCATTTCCTCTGAATATGAACTGCAGAATTTAATACTTTCTAAGAAAAAAAAAAGTTAAAAAGCTACAGAACATGATGGAGAGCTTCATTTGAGTTGTGAAAATTAAGTTAGTTACTCTGTGTAGGATTGGCTGTACCTGAGTTGGCCTGTGTGTTCGTAAACCAGTAAATGTCATCGACAGTTGTCTGCTGGGATACGCTTTTGCATTGATTTTAAGTGACAAAATGGTTGAGAGAATCCTCATTTGCAAATGTTTTTTGAGCAGAATATATCCTTTAATGTGCTTCTGCTCATTACTTACACATTTAAACCATTTTCATATAATTACAGTACCTTGCTTCAGCTCGGGAGAGTCAACAAATGGTAAAGTGAGTTTACTATTGTCTTCTTCAGGGAAGTTTGAAGAGAAGTCAGATGCCTAGAATGGTCTCCTGCATATTTTGAGGAGTCATGCTTCTGTTTACATCATGCATCAGCGAGCAGGAACAAGTTTTTACAGGAGTCAGTTTCCACAGCATTGCCTCTCACCTCCTACTGAATTGTCTTCCTTATATGGCGTCACTGTTTTGTTTGAAATAACTTCCTACCGTGTCATTCAAGTTCAGATTGAAGTTTAAAAATACATTGCAGGTTGGAATGATAATTGGATTATGGCAGCCCAACTATGATTTGGTAGTTAAATAGATTGAATTATTGGGAAGTGTCCACACTTACTAGGGGTTATTTGTGGCATTATGGGGTGTGTGTGTGTGTGTGTGTGTGTGTGTGTGTGTGTGTGTGTGTGTGTGTTTTAAAGCTTTTAATTGATCAGTGTGTTCATTTCCTTTACTTTCTTAGCCCCAGTATCAAAGACAAATAAAATAATAATACTCCATATGTCATTATGGTTTCAACTAAAAGATTTGATATTCTGTGGCCTTTTTTGCTTTTAATTATTTGGAATTTCTGAAAAAGTTTTTGGTGTAAAATACAGAGATAACTCTTAGCCTCTTGGTGGATTGAATAACTGACAGTATCTAAAAACCTCTGGCCAATTTTTCAGAAGTACAGCTAGGTTATAAGTCTTGTGTGAGTTCCCTGTCATTGAACTTCAGATGGAGAGCCTGCAGGCAGCAGCCACGTGAGTGACTTGTAGCTGTGACAGTGATTAATGAAATTCCAAGGCGACTAGGCACTGTCATTGTGGACAAAGAAGAAAGTCCACGGTGCAGCTGAAGACCCTGTCTTCACTTCTGGATTCCTTTCTGTCTCTGCATACAGCCAAAAAGCTTGACAACAGAATTCAGCGTACTGTCCTGTGCTGGCCTGGCATCTCTGTTCCTTTCCTTTGGCGTGTTTTCAAAATAGTCGTAGTTTGCAGCCCTTTCAGGCCGTCTCAGGAAAATGTTGGTTTTGATTGCCTGAAGACAGCATGGTGTGGTAAAAACAATAGCAAAGTTTCAGCTCATGTTCATAAGTCCAGCGATTAATAAGGGACTTGACTTCTCCAGACAACGGTCTGTGTGTGTGTAGAGAGAGAGAGAGAGAGAGAGAAGTAGGTGATACTGGCTTCTTAAGGTTGTGCTGGTTGAGTTAAAACACATGCAGAGCACCATTGCATGCTTCCGGGTCTCTAGGGAAGCAAGACAGGTATTTGGTAAGTGTTAGTTAAGTTCCTCAAGGAAGGACACCCCACCAGATGCAGCATCCCACCTCACCTCTGTCTACCACACACCCAGTTCCTGAGTGGAATTAAATGGATGGAGAAGTCCTTTGTGGTAGGAAGCCATGTTTCTTCTCTTCTATGCTTCCCTCAATATCAGCAAGATGAACAGCAGCCTGTTCCAGAAACACTCTTCCTCTCCAAGCTGGACTCTTGCTATGGGTAATCCTAACTTCTTCACTTGGTGGGAAATCCTGTGCCTGTCATGGTGTCTGTAAACACTGATTTCTGAGACAGTACTGTCCAGAAATTGGCAAGTGTGGATTCTGGATCAAAAAGAATTTTGAGTCCATTTCTGCCATTTACCTTGCCAACTTTACGCCTTAATTGACTCACCTCTAAAATGAGAGTAATAATAACATGTGTCTTCTAGTGTCGTTAGCACAAGACAAGGTGTGTGAGGGCTTAGAACTGGCAGGCACACAGCAAGCACGATACGGTAGCTATTTATAATAATCACTTTCAAGAACTGTATAAATAAATATATGTAAAACATATACACACACAGAGCACAATTTTGTGTGTGTGTAACTTGCATTGATGAACTGACCTTAGATGGTTTCCAGTTTCCCAATATAAAACAGATCTGTAGTTTTCATACTGCTTATGACCAAAATGTACTGGACTACCTTATTTGTTTGGGATAAAGTACTAGACATAAAATTGCCGAGTCAAAGAGAATTATGAGTTTCTGGGACTTTTAATAACAGTATTTTTAAGTAGCCCTCCAGAATGGTTGTGGAGCATGGTAACTCCAATATTCATTGTTGTTGAGGGTGATTCATCTATGAAACATCCTTTAAAGTGACATGTTTAGCATTTCTGCCATTGCAGCCGGTAGTGACATATAAAAAAGGCACTTTGAAAGTTCTCACACTCAAAGAGTACGAAAATATTTTCAGATTGCACCAGCTTTGCTGCCCATGAGCCTCCCTTCTTCATTAGATCTCACGGGCCGCCTCTCAGAGGGGTGTTTTGTTATGAATCTTCTCATTAAAGTCTGATAGCAATGCCAGAAGTCTCACAGTTAGTGAACAGAAATTCACTAACCAATTCAGTGACTTTCTATAAAGAGGCAATTGAAAACTGCATTGTTTTTAATAGAGAATGCCCGGAAGTACTGCTTGGGTTAAGGTTTCAGATCACAGTGGGGAAAAAGCTGATGTAAACATTTCTTTACTTCCAAGTGCCTTAGCCACGCTGCCCATGATAAAGCATCCCAGAGCCCAGGCCTGGCTTATCTCTCGGGCCCTGCTGCGTGCTGCTTGCACGTTGCCTTCAAGTTACCCCACTTTAAAAGCAAGGCTCATTTCCCCTTCAAGAAATTGTTTCATTCACAGCAGCTTGACCACTTTTATTTCTAACATGAAAGTTTTCCCAGTTTTTTAAAAATAAAAATTACATTTCTTTTGTTTTGTTTTGGGATTGTATGGCATGGTTCTGTTAGCCAAAAAAAAAAAATAAAAAGGAGAAAAAAGTAGAAAATTTTGAAGAAAAGAAAAAAAAACACCACTTAAATCTCATCACCTTTCTTTAAAGGTTTTTAATACTCTCTTGACCCTACGTTCTCATATGTTCATGGGCCTTAAGTGAGTAATTTTTCAATGTAAATGTGATAAAATGTATACGTAGTATAAAAGCGACCACCATAGAGGCTTTTCACAGTACAGGTTGATGACACTGAGGACATTTATATCATTGTGCAACCATCAACACACTCCACCTCCAAAACTTTTTCATCTCCTGAAACTGAAACTATACCCATTGTGCAATAGTTTACCGTCCACCTTCCCCCAGCCCTGGCAGCTACCACCTAGCCTTTTTATATTTTATATTGAAATACTGTGTGTGTACAGGAAAGTGTACGTATCACAAGCACACAGACAAGCTCTGAGGAAAGGGGTGGTTTTTAGTTGTTCTTGTAGAGATTTCCCTGGCAACGCCCGTGTTGTAGTAGCAGAGACCTGCCTTCTTTTCACCGGCCAGGGTTTTCCATTGATTCTGTGGACTGGTGACTGGCTCAGAGCTAGGAAGGCCGTAGCACAGTGTAGTTAATGCGTCACAGGAGTGTTTTTGCATTGGCCTTACTCAAGGCTTTTGGAACCGCCCTCTGTTGCACCTTGTACTATATTAGTACTTCTCAGACAGGAAGAATTTTCTTTTCGTGGTGTAGCTGGTCCGGTTACCTTCAGGGTAAGTGTGAACTTGTCCTGTTTAACTTTATGGTAATTCTTACTTGATTTCTGTGTCTTGTTGAAAGTTGGGGCGTTATAAATTACAAAGCAAGAAATGAAAGTAGAATGATCCAGGTAAATGCAAAGCTGCTTTACAGTCTGCAGAGATATGAATGTGCAAAAACTTTGAGGTGTCTTAGGGCTTGGAAATTATGTTTTATGTAGAGCAAGTTCAGATGGCATTTTAAGAATTTCTTGTTTGATGTGTAGATGTTAAGAAAAAGCAAAATATCATTTGAATCAGTTTCTAGGGTAGCAGAAAATACTGTAATATCCAATTTAGTCACTCTTCTGTTGCAGTGTGATTTAGTTTTGCTGATAGCCATATGTTTGTGTCACTCAATTTAAGAACAATTTATTACAACTTGTAATGAGGAGTACTGATTTTTATGTTGTTACCCCTGGGGTAAATATAGACCAGGGTTGTATTTCTGCTTCATGAATTGATAAAATATTTATGTATAATCAGTTGTATGCTAGAAGTTAAGATTCAAACACATATATTACAGTAAAAGCCTAGACTATAATTTGGCTATCTTATGCAGTTGAGTTTTTTAAAGTTTTTTTTTTTTTTTAATCAGAAAAATTAGATCCTACAGGTTTTTTGTTGCCAGCCTGCAGTCTAGCCCTGCATCTCAGGATGTTGCCTGCCACCTGTATACTCTTGTTCTAGAACAAATTCAAGGACAGAAGAACTCAGAATGCTTTAAGGGTCACTGATGTGAACTACTTAATATTCACATGTCTTGATTACTCATCTTGAAAAATACTGTTAGAGATTCAAGACAACGAGGGTAGGAAGATAGAAGAATGAATTCTTAGCTCTGAAATTATTTATTTACATGAGTATTCATAAAATTTTAACAGAAGCCAGTTTTTTAAGTTAACAAACCTTTGAAATCTGTTTTTTTCTTCTTCTTTCCTACATCCTCCTCTTCCCCTCCCACTCTTAGCTCTTCAGTTTCATTTTTGTTTTATGTTTTATCGAGAAAGTTTTACTTTCCAGTTGTGTGTTTTTTCACAGCCAGGTTATAAAATCCAATTGGGGAGAGTTATTTAAATACCCCCAAGAAAATGATTATAATCCTGGGGGGTGGAGAGGAATGTAGTTTAATTTTTTTTTTTCCATGAACCAATCGTACTAGCAAAGTGCTGGTTTGAAAAACCCAAGCTTCCGGCAAATAGTGTAGATTGCCAGAAAAAATGCATTCACTGAGGAGTTTTACTACAACTACTACTACTAACTGCTACTGATACCCAGTCCATAACATAATAATACATGCTTGTCTCAGATTTAGAGCAGAGTTGCAAAGTTAACCTTTTTAACTTTTAACACAGAGTGAGGTAGGCCTTTAAAAGTATTCAGTTAGCATTCAGATTTTTAAGACTTATTTCAAAATAAGAACATTTTTTTTTATGTAGACATCAGCAGTTTTCATGAATTGATATGTGAATGTCATCTTAGAATGAAGTGCCATGGCAACTAAGACTGTCAGCAAGTTTGTGCTATTTAGTGGAAATGCTCCTTACCTCCTGCTTCAGTCTTTAGCCTCGTTCTACGTATCCCTTGAGAGGAATACTGTTATATGTAGAGAGCTTAACCTCATCCTGAAAGCACACAAAATAATTGTTCTCCAGTTTCCAGTTCTTAGAACTGTCTTGGGAGAGACTTCACAGTTGAAGGGTGGTATTTTCTATTTTTGAGAGCATCTTCTACACTTGATGTGTGTGTTTTTTTCCCCTCAAGCAACTCTTCTCTTGAAGCATCTGCAACCGATGACTGTTGGCAGAGTGAGCCAGAACTTTATATACAAGGTGTAGGTTTACAAGCCAATCGGTTTAAAAATACCCTGCCCTAATTTTCACTGTCATCCTTAGAATGTGCCAGAATGCTGACATTTGTATGTAACTGTTTACACTTTTATGATGATACAGACCACACAGTAATTTTTGCAGAATGGCTACAGTTATCTGTTTATGTGAGATTATTTTTTGAGCAAGTATAAATTCTGGTCTGATGGCAAGTGAAAATCAGGAAGAATGAAAAGAGCTTCAGCTGACAGTTGTCTAGTGTGTTTGAACTCTTGGGCTTGCTTATTAGAGCCCTGAAGTGACCATTAGGAAACTTCTCATTGATCATTGTTTTGTTTTGTTTTTAAGGTTTATTTATTTTTCTTGGAAAGGGAAGTTTACAGAGAGAAGGAGAAACAGAAAAATCTTCCATCCACTGGTTCACTCCCCAAATGGCTGCAATAGCTGGAGCTGAGCCGATTTGAAGCCAAGAGCCAGGAGCTTTTTCTGGGTCTCCCATACGGGTGCAGGGTGCCAAGGCTTTGGGATGTCCTCCACTGTTTCCAAGGCCATATGCTGGGAGCTGAATGGGAAGTGGAGCAGCTGGGATACAAGCTAGTGCCCATATGGGAGCAGGTGCTTGCAAGGCGAGGATTTAGCCATTGCATCAGGTCCTGATCTTTGTCTTTTGTGTTTTATTTAAATAAAATGGAAAGAGCCCTGGAGAGAAATACTATCTTTTACCTACCAACAATGACCTCTCGATTTTTAAACTAAAACTGAATACTACAAAAAGGACCATATTTGGCAGTAGCTTCTGAGGAGGAATTATGCTACCTGGTTGTGAAAAAGAAATATTCCCAGCTATTAAAATACATTTTAGTTTTCACTCTTCAGTTGTTTCCATATGATACACTTGTGAGCTCAACTGTACTTTTCCATCTTTTTTGTTGTTGTTGTTGTTTTGAGCTTTTTGTTTTTGTTTAATGCAGAGTTACAGGGAGAGAGACATGGGTCTTCCATCTCCTGGCTCACTTCCACAAATGGCCTCAATGGCCAGGGTTAGTTCAGGCCAAAACCAGGAGCAAGTAGCTTCTTCTGGGTCTCCCCCTTGGATGGCAGGGGCCCAAGCACTTGGGCCGTCCTTCACTGCTTTTCTCAGGTCATTAACAGGAAGCTAGATGGAAAGAGGAGCAGCCAAAACTCAAACTGGGATTCCGTATGAGTTGCCAGCATTATAGACAGCAGCAGCTTAACCCACCAGCCAATGTTTCAAGCTGTCAAAGTGCATTTATTTAAATAGTACTGTTTGCAAAATACAGACCCCTTTTCCAACATTAAACATTAGTTAGAAGCCATCAACATTTAATATTTATGCTTTGGCTTCTGGATTATCAAGAAATAGAATTGTATACATCTAAGATTTTCTTAGAGATGGATAACTGTGAAGAAGTTAGATTAAGGAAAATTACTTATATATTATTATATATATTATATATATTGCTTATATCTAAAGACTACTAACCCCCAAACTGCTGTTACAATTATATTTTGTGGATATTGATTAAATATTTTATAAGAAATATGTATGCATAGATACTTCTGCAGACGGATAGATTTTAGATGTGAAAGATTGTGACTTTCATCTTAATATTTGGAAAAACTGTATTCAGCTGTAAGATGCCATCAGCTACAAGACCATCAGCGTACTGGTAGCCTTTCTGGGAAGGGGAGAAAAACATCTCCCAATTGCATAAGCTGAAAATAGAGGGAACAGACTGTAAGTTAGAATTTCAGGAGCTTTCCTATAGCTGGTCTAATTCCTTTTAGTGATAAAGAAGATGTCCAAATGCTATTGCTCTAGAAAAAGACTTTCCATCGCTTAAATTGTCCTTTTAAAGCAGTTTTTTTGTTTTTTATTAGATTGGTTTGTTCCAGACAGAGAGGTTGTATTCATGAAATGAACAAGTGAGCATAAAAAGAAGGAGTGGAGGCTGGGAAATATCTTCCGGGAAGGAACTGGGAGATGGAGTGTCTCCTGGAAGGAGAGAGAAAGACCCTAAAACATTGTACTTACCTGAAACCAAGTAAAAGTAAAATCATACTAGGACAAAAATAAATTAGTAACTTTCCTAAGATCTATCTGTACTACAGAAAAGAAAAATATTTAGATGGCTGAGAATAATTTGAAAACTTTCAGTATAAAAAAACATACATGTTAATTTTATCAAGGCCCTAGAAGCATTATCACATGCTTATTCTGTGGCAGACGTTAGGCTGGATGCAAATATAGCTCAGTTCTAGAATATCACAAAACTAAGTTTTTTAATACAATAAAACTGAAGGAAAATTGGACTTGTGGTTATTTCTTTTTACTTCGTACTATTTATGTGTTTTCATGTAAATTTGGTAGGAACCGCATGAGATTTTTCAACACTGTTGATCTAATACTCTTGCATTAAAGCTTGTGCTCCATTCATATCCTGTTACGACCATGTAAGTTCTTACAGAAGAGGATCTGATTCTCCATACAAAATTTTAGCTCAGAACTAGGCTGGATAGAGAAAGCCTTTGCTAAGTTTCTTAGAAATGAAACAGATGCCTGCAATAACATGGTATTTAAGTCATACCAAAATTATCACACGAGGATGACCTTAATCTACAGAAAGAGCCTGAAATTCAAGTATGTCACGTGTACCTGTTTTTCTCTTTTTCGCTGTGACATCACCTGGGAAAATCCAGAAGATTGGATAATCAAGAAATGACTAACCAAGAGCCTGCTGTGCATGTGCAAATGGTGGGTATTTGAATATATCCAGTTACATTTATGAATGGTGAATGTCCACAGCATTTGCCTCTGTCTCTAGAAAATTATGGGACTGAAACTTTGTGCAAGTCTTTCTTTGCAAGTCTTTCTTTACAATTCTTGACATACAGTAGAATCTCAGGTACTTGCTGAATTCCATTTGAAGTTGTTTTTTGCCTTGGAGTGCTTCTCAGCATATAAAATGGTGACAATATTCCTCAACATACTTCAATCACACAGTCTGAAATATTCTGTCTTAGGCACCTGATTTAAACTGACAAATATTCAAACTTAAAGTACACTGTTGCATATGATTAAAATTCATCATATTATTTACATACACTAGGATAATGTAGGAAAGATAAAGACTAGAGTGTGAACTTGTTTCAAATCTCAACTTGTTCCCTAATGACTGGATATTCATGAACTAGGACCATCATTTTACCATTAATAGATGAGTATGATTCTTCCAGTTTCGTGTTGTCCTCATTCAATGAAAAAGTGTGTAAACTTTCTGATAGTACTCAGAAAATTCTGAGTTACTCTAAATGTTGCTGTAAATGTTACTTCCTGTCTATGAGGGAAGTTTAAAAGGTTATGGGGTTGGGGAACAACACAGTACTCTTGCAGCTAAAGCCCTCGCCTTGAACGTGCTGGGATCCCATATGGGTGCTGGTTCTAATCCCAGCAGCCCCGCTTCCCATCCAGCTCCATGATTGTGGCCTGGGAAAGCAGCAGAGGACAGCTCAAGGCCTTGGGACCCAGCACCCATGCGGGAGACCTGGAAGAAGTTCCTGGCTCCTGGCTTTGGTTTGGCTCATCTCCAGCTGCTACAGCCACTTGGGGAGTGAATCAATGGACAGAAGATCTTCATCTCTCTCTTTCCTCCTCTCTGTATATCTGACATTGCAGTAAAAATACATAAATAAATCTTTAAAAAAAAAAAGGTTATGGGTGGGCTGGCATGGTGGTTCAGTGGCTAAATCCTCACTTTACAAGCACCAGGATCCCATATGTGCACCAGTTCATGTCCTGGTTGCTCCATTTCCCTTCCAGCTCCCTGTTTGTGATCTGGGAAAACAGTAGAGGATGGCTCAGGTCCTAGATCCCTGCATCCATGCAGAAAACCCAGAAGTTCCTGGCCGCTGGCTTCAGATCAGCTCAGCTCCAGCTGTTGCTGCCATTTGGGGAGTAAACCAGGGGAGAGGTGGTCTTTCTGTCTCTCCTTCTTTCCATAGATCTGATATGCCTTTCTAATAAAAACAAATCTTTAAAAAAGAAGAAGGTTGTGGAGATGGATGTGTTGGCTGCACAGGTTAGGATGTTTCCTGAGGTACAGACAGCCCCTATCAGAGTGGCTGGTTGTGAGTTCAGCTCCATTTGTGATTCTGTATTCCTGTTAGTGCGGACTCTGGGAAACAGCAAATGAAAGCATAATGACCTAGCTCACCTGACTCCAACATGGAGACCTGGGTGGAGTATTGCGCTCCTAGCTTTGGACTGGCCGTCCCAGCTGTTGTAAGGACTTGGAGGTTGAATGTCTCAATTCCTCTCTGCTTTTCAAAAATTTGGAAATAGAATTTAAAACAAATTGGACCCAGCATGGTGGCCTTGTAGCTGAAGTCCTTGCCTTGTATCCGCTGGGATCTCATATCCAGTCTCCCATGGGTGTCTCCCATATGGTCTCCCAAGCACTTGGGCCATCTTCCACTGCTTTCCCAGGTACTTCAGCAGAGTTAACCCTCTGCCCACAGGGAATGCCTGCATCACAGGTGGGAGTTTAACCTTCTGCTCAATACTGGCCCTAGAATTTCCTTCCCTAAAAATGTTGTTAGAGTTCCTTTCTTCTCCTTCTTGAGGACTCCTCAGGGTGTGTGTCACATGGCCCTTCACAATCTTCTCCAATCTTAATGTTTCTGAATGCTGCTTCTCTTCTAAACACCAGCTCAGTTGCCTCTTCCTCCATTAGCTGCAACAGACATCATGTCTGCTTCTTCTGGTCCTTTTAACATTCTAACTGGACATCTTGGGAATGTGTTACTTATTTGTGTTCTTACATATCGCAGTACATACTACAGAATATGTATTTTATGTGCTTATATCTCTTGCAGAGCCTCTTAAAGCAGTGTCTACACTTAATGACTATATATGATGAATGAATGAATGAAAGAATTTGGTCTATGCTGCTCTAATGGAGGCAGGCCAAATATGTGGTTAGCCGGGAAGCTGTTATCAGTAATATTTAGTAATGTGTAATCTTCCAAATAAATTATAGAATCATCTTTGGGTGTGGGTAAATGTACCAGCCTGTATAGATGCCTTTAATGCTATTCCTTTTCTTTTTTTTAATAAATTAAAAAAAAATTGTATTTAGAAGGCAGAAAGCACTCTCATCCACTGGTTTGCTCCCAGATGCCTGCAGGGGCGAGGGCTGGGCCAGGCCAAAGCTAGGTACTACGTACTTCGTTAGAGCGGAGTACTGGAAGCCTCAGCTCCCTTCCAGGGTGCAGGTCAGCAAGAAGCTGGATCTGAAGTGAAACAGGGGCTCAAACTCACACACTCCACTACAGGATACAGGCACCCCAGGTGTTATCCTGACTACTACACCCAACACTCACCAGAAATTTCTCTGAAAGTATCTGATTGATATTCCTAAACTAATTTATTTGGATCGTTTCCAGAAAATGTAGAATAATATAAAGATCATTAAGAACAGAGATGAGGGGCCCTGGCGCTGTGGCCTAGTGGCTAAAGTCCTTACCTTGAGTGAGCCGGGATCCCATTTGGGTGCCAGTTCTAATCCCAGAAGCCCGCTTCCCATCCAGCTCCATGCTTGTGACCTGGGAAAGCAGTTGAGGATAACCAGAAGCCTTGGGACCCTGCACCCGTGTGGGAGACCAGTTAGAAGCTCCTAGCTCCTGGCTTCGGATTGGCTCAGCTCCAGCCATTGCAGCCACTCGGGGAGTGAACCATTAGAAGGAAGATCTTTTATCTCTCCTCCTCCTCTCTGTATATCTGACTTTCCAATAAACATAAGTAAATCTTCAAAAAAGAACAGAGATGAATGCATATAAATATACTCAAATCTATTAAAAGCATGTATTTTCTTTACTTAAAATATGAATTGTACTAACTATATACCCTAAATTATACTAATTGTTAGGTTTTATGCTTTAGCTTAAAAAGAAAAATTCTGAAATCAGCCTTGTGGCACAATAGAGTAAACGGGCACTTGCAATGCCAGCACACCATCCCAGCTGCTCTATTTCCATCTGTCTCCCTATTAATGCACTTATGGGATAGCTAAACTTGGCCTGAGTAGTTAGGCCTCTGCCATCCACATGGGAGACCCGGATGCAGTTACAGGCTCCTGGCTTCCTCTGGCCCAGCCCATAGCCACTTGGGAAATACCGGTGGACTAAAGATTTGTCTGTTTCTCCCTTTCTCCACCACAGTATCTTTCAAATACATGCACATCAGAGTGTTTTAAATACAAACTTAGCATTACATATATAGAGAGATGTATTTGTTTATTTGAAAGGCAGAGTTACAGACAGGAGGAGACAGAGAGAAAGTGATCTGCAATCCATTGGTTCACTCCCCGAATTGCCTACAATGTCCATGGCTGGACCAGGCCAAAGTCAGGAGCCAGAAGCTTCATCAGGATCTGCCATATGGTTTCAGTGGCACAAGCACTTGGGCCGTCTTCTGGAACTCGAACAAGTACCCCAATAGAATCTTGGCATTGTAGGCAGTGACCTAACAACTATATACCACAATACCAGCCCCAACATTATATGTTTATAATAGTATAAATATCATGAGACTTTGAGGTTGTCATCTCATCCTGGGGGTTAAGGTGATCATTAGTCTGAGACACCACTGATTGATAAGATCAAGCCAGAAATTTGGTGACTGTGTCATGAAGATACTCATTTTTGTTTTGTCCTGGTGTATCTACAAGCTAATATGAAGCACTCTAATATTTTTGAGTTATGAGTAAAATAACATACCTTTGAAATCTACTTCTTTTAAAATGTTTGCTTTTGAATGCGAATGTAAACTAATGGGTTCATTTCAACTGTGCAAGCAACATATGTAAAGATTAGTCAGAACGTATGTATTTTAGGCCTTTCTTACCATCTGTACTGTGGATTGATTAGGCTTCAGCCAGCTGACATACTCTGATATCTTTCAGGGAGACTTTGCACCTTGTCCAGCATCTTACATTCTGGCCGTAAAAAATGTTTACTTTCTTCTTACCACAAACTTTAAACCGTTATTTATTTTCCATAAAATCCAATCATGATCAAATTGAAAAGTCTTCAGATAATTCAAAAAAATAAAATTTGTCCTCCCCATTTGAAGCATTAAAATGGGCACCACTCAGCCAGGTCTCATTTTGTCCAAGGGAACTGTGGGAGGAAGGGCTGACAGGGCTGTGAGATGAACTTCCTTGCGCTCCTGCCATCGGGCTGCCCCATGCTCTTCTGTTCTGAAACGTGTTTGATTCTGTCTCTTAGACTGCTTTTTAACGTATCTCAGTCAAATGTTCCGTATGTTATTTCTGAGAAGCATCTCTCATGTACTTCCATTGCATTGTTGGGTATTAAAGCAGTGACGTGTACAACTCCCCATAAGGATCATTTGTTATTCCTCACGCTTACATCCCCTCGCCTTTAAATTCTCTGGAGAAAGTAGCTGCTCTTTCATGTTATAATCAGTTGTTTGCAGTAGAGCTATTTGAGTGTTCACCACTTACCTACCTGAAAACAAATGCTTCTGTTTTGCCAAGAAGTAGAACTACCAGTTCCTCCCAGCCACTGATTGTCTTAGAATAGACCAATTTTCTCCTTGGCCTCGCAAAAATCAGCCTACCTTGAAGTAGTCTTGGTACTGTTTGCCCATTAGCTGAAACTTAAGAGTGTAATTTTGTTTTCTTGTGAATACGGACTTGGTGACAAACATCCTGTTTTCACAATAGCGGGTTAATGACTGAATCAAGCACATAGGGATTACTGCGCATCTGCTAATGAGGCTGAGGCAAGAACAGAATTTACTTCTCAGAAGGTGAACTCAGTTTGCTTCTACTCTTGTGGATTAGGAACAACAAACAGTACTTAGCATTAAATAGTTGCACAGCCCTAAAATCTTCATAAACCAGCTTGCTGACGGCCAAAGCACAGGTGTGCTAATACTTTTTAATGGGTCTCTTAATGTTAAATAAATCTATTATAAAATTTATACCAGTGTCACTGAGTTATTTGTGGTCCAATACAATAAAAAGTAGCAGTGGGCCTGGCCTGATAGCCTAGTGGCTAAATCCTCGCTTTGCATGCCCCAGGATCCCATATGGCTACCAGTTCATGTTCCAGCTGCTCCACTTCCAATCCAGCTCCCTGCTTGTAGCCTGGAAAAGCAGTGGAGGGTGTCCAAAGCTTTGGAACCCTGCACCCATGGAAACCTGGAAGAAGCTCCTAGTCCTAGCTTCAGATCGGTTTAGCTCCAGCCATTGCTTCATCGTGGGGAATGAAGCAGCAGACAGAAGATCTTTCTCTCTGTCTCTCCTCTTTGTAAATCTGCCTTTCCAACTGAAAAAAATAATAATAACTTTTCAACATTCTAACTTGATTATCTGTATAAAGATAATCTTTAGGGGGAATAATTTTGTAGCACTTGTTTCTTTTATACACAAATATTTTTTAGTGTAAATATGAATATAAACTAGCTCTTATTTTGTACTATTTGAAAGGCAGAATAATATAGAGAGGAAGAGAAAGAAAGAAAGCGATCTTCCATTTGGAAAGACAAGGCAAAGGATTATATAATGAGAATGACAAACTATATACATGTTCTTATATGCTAGCAGTCAGAGAAATGAAATTAATGGAAAAGAAATGAAACTTTTTTTTCCCATCTTTGAGGGGTAGAACTCCAGGCAATTTTTATTTTCTTTTGGTATTCTATTATTCTTGTAAATAAGCATTACTTTTTTTTTAAGATTTATTTTTATTATTTTCTTATTGGAAAGGCAGATATACAGAGAGGAGAGGCAGAAAGGAAGACCTTCCGTCCGATGATTCACTCCCCAAGTGAGCGCAACGCCCGATGCTATGGCAATCCGAAGCCAGGAGCCTCTTCCGGGTCTCCCAAGCGGGTGCAGGTTCCCAAAGCTTTGGGCCTTCCTCAACTGCTTTCCCGGGCCACAGGCAGGGAGCTGGAAGGGAAGCGGGGCTGCCGGGATTAGAACCGGCGCCCATATGGGATCCCGGGCGTGCAAGGCGAGGACCTTAACCACTTGCCACCGCGCCGGGCCCATAAGCATTACTTTTTAAAAGGCAGAAGAATTTTAGAGAGATCTTTGATTAGCTGCTTACTGCCTTGTCACTGTCCCGCAGCGATGGACTTGGTGCATGGAGCCGATAATAACACGCGTGGACCCTGACTGATGGTCAAAAGCCGAAGTTTATTAGGGGCATCAGACTTTATACACTGAGAGTCCATACTGTTTCCCTACTCTTGATTGGAATTCCTTTTGTTTTGTATATTCCACCAGGTGTTCTCATTTACATGCTGTTTATACAAAAGGTAGCCATTTGGTTGTTGTCATACAAATACTGTCCAATGAACTGCAAACCTGTGCTCGCTGACCTTCCAGGGTCACAATGTCCTCCTACACTGCCTCAGTGGTACTACTAGCAAGGCCTGGGACATATGGAAGCCAGGAGCCTGGAACTCCATCTGGGTCTTCCACATGTCTTGCAGGGATCCAAGAACATTGAGCATTTTCTACAGTTTACCAGGTGTGTTAGCAGTGAGCTGGATCAGAAGTGGACTAGCCAGGACTTGGACCAGTACTCTTATGGGATTCTACTGTCGCAGGCAGCAGCTTCATTTACTGAGCCACAGTGCTGGCCCCAAGCGTTGTTTTTGTAATCAGAAACATTATGATTTCTTACAAAGTAAATGACTCACACATATAGTTTTATCTTACTCTCCAATGGAAACCATTTTTTTGATGCACTTTTAAAATATTTTGTATGTATATGCTGGTTTGCTTTTTTAAAAACAATGCCTCTGTGTCTTTGTATCTTTAAATAATATAAGCTTGTGTTCATTATGGAGGGAATCTAATGAAAGAGGAATTAAAATAATTGCTTCTTTTTGCTTTTTAGATGCCTGAATTCCAGAAAGATTCAGTTCGCATCAAGAACCCTCAAAGAGTAGAAGAAATTATCTGTGGTCTTATCAAAGGAGGAGCTGCCAAGCTTCAGGTACATGGTTATTAACAAGCCTTTATTATCAATCCCCCCCTTTTTGAAGAAAAAAGATTCATCTATTTATTTGAAGATTAGAATTACAGAGACGGGGGTAGGGGAGAGGAGAGATTTTCCATCTGCTGGCTCATTCCCCAAATCGCGACAATAGCTGGGGCTGGGCCAGGCTGAAGCCAAGAGATTCTTTTGAGTTTCTCACGTGGGAATCAGGGACTCAAGCACTTGGGCCGTCTTATGCTGCTTTTCCTAGGTCATTAGCAGGGAGCTGAATCGGAAGTGGAATAGTTGGAACGGGACCTGGCACCCCTCTATAGGATCCTGGTGTCACAGGCAGCAGTTTTACCCACTATGCCACCATTGCTGGTCCCCAACATGTTACTTTCAGAGTTCAAGGAAACTCATTCAGCTCCTGTTTTGAAAAAAATCCCCCCACTCCCAAAAAAACTGTTGTTTTAAAAAATACACAGTTTCAACTAATAGTTGTTTGAAGTAAAATGTTAACCATAATTAAAGAATAATTGAATTTAAAGACTCTTTTTTTCAAGGGAAGTTTTAAATACATGTAAAACCAGCAAGTTGCATATTCAGTAAAGAAAGCTTTCCTCTTGGGGTCTTTGAGTTCCTCCTTCCTGAAGCAGCACAGGAGAGGTCCACCTTTAACATCTTTAATAAATCTTGCCTGCATACTGAAACTGTCCACATGAAAAATCTTTCATGTAAGAAAGAACCAAGGTCACCTTTTATCTTTCATCAAAAAAAAAATTCCAATTGTTAAACATTTATGAAGATTTAGTGTTTAACTAACTCACTCTCCTATGCAGCTGGTATGCTGTTTCCACCCTCATTCATGCATTGGTATATTGGACCTTAAGTAAACAGGTTAGAGCCAGCCTAAAGCAGTGTCACTAACAAAGAATGTCATATAATTAAATTGCTTCCGCTGCACATTTGTACATGGACGAAGTTGGCTAGGATTATGTCTTATTTCTAGAGAGAATAACTTGCCATCATAAATTTCCATATTGATTAATTGGTTCTTATTTGGCAACTTTAGAGTACATCAGAAAGCACCTGTGGTAAAGGGCATGCCCAGGGCTTCTTAAAAGAACAGCATTGCGATGATAGCCTACGGTGGGGACACACGGACCCATCCCAGGCTGTGCCTGGAGAACCCGCCGTGTGCCTTTGCATGGCAGTGCACAAACTGTGGCCATGGCGGCTGTGTCTCCATAATCTCTTTCTTCCTTTTCCTGCAGATAATAACTGACTTTGACATGACACTAAGTAGATTCTCCTACCAAGGGAGAAGATGCCCAACCTGTCACAGTAAGTGTGATATATTTAAACAAATTCTTGGAAATAAAGTATTTTAAGAATCTTTGGCTTCTGTCACCTGTAAGATGTCTGTTTTTTGTTTGTTTGTTTGTTTGTTTGTTTGTTTTTGGAAATTCTTGTGGGATATGGAAAGAGTGGGGACTTGACTTGCTTTTTCTTGCCATCTTTTGAGGACTTATTTTTTCATGTGTCACATATTTGGTTGTTTCATGGAGAGTTCCAGTAGCAAAAGAAACAGAGATTTCTAAACTATTCCTATCCAAATGTTTGTCCATTTGTCAAGGAATATTTAAATGAATTTTATACTTTGTGCCAGCCTAAAAAAAAAAAATATGTATCAAATACTCCTGTTTCTGGGAAGATTGCCAGATTTGGGGATACTATGTTTATAAGTGAAATTGAAAGGAAACTGTTGGGGCTGACATTGTGGTGCTGTGAGCTAAGCCACTGTCTGCAGTGCTGGCATCCTATATGAGCACCAGTTCAAGCCTTGGTTGCTCAGTTTCTGATCTGCCTCCCTGCTAAGGTGCCTGGAAAAGCACCGGAAGATGACCCAATGCGTGGACCCTTTGTCTACACACCCTTCCAGCCCATGTTGTAGACCTGAACAGAGTTCCAGGTTCCTGGTTTCATCCTGACCCAGCCCAGGCTGTTGGTGGCCATCTGGGCAATGAACCACTCTGATCTGGAATGCTGACATTATAAGCAGCTCTTAACCCCATGACATCATAGCATTGACCCCAGTAATTTGTATTTACTGATAAATATATGTGAGCCCGGCATGGAGACTAAAGTCCTCATCTTGCACATGCCAGGATCTCATATGGGCTCTGGTTTGTATCCCGGCTACTCCACTTCCCATCCAGCTCCATGCTTGTGGTCTGGGAAAGCAGTAGAGGACAGCCAGAAGCCTTGGGACCCTGCACAGGTGTAGGAAACCAGTTAGAAGCTCCTGGCTCCTGGCTTCGGATTCGCTCAGCTCCAGACGTTGTTGGCCACTTGGGGAGTGCATCAGCAGATGGAAGATCTTTCTCTCTGTCTCCCTTTCTCTCTGTAGATCTGTCTTTCCAATAAAAAATAAAAATATAAATAAATAAAATTTAGAAAATAAAAAAAAAACCTGGTAAATATCTTCATACCCTTTTCCTTGGAGAACCAACCCCCGCCCCCAGAAAAGGTCTATTTACCTAACCATTGGTCCCTAAGCTCAACATAAAACTATAGCAAAACTTGGAAGCAAGTTTTGGAAAACTTGGAAAAAGTTTTTCACTGCAGCAATGACATAAATTCTGTGCTGCCCACATGCCAAAGACTGTGCAGTTCTTATGACAGATGTGGAGAGGGGCCGGTGTGGTGACATAGCAGCATAATTCCCTGCCTGCAGCACTAGCACCCCGTGTGGGTGCTGTTTCGTGTCCCACTGCTCCTCTTTTGATCTAGCTCTCTGTTTATGGACTGAGAAAGCAGTGGAGGATGGTTCATGGGCCCTCGTGCCCATGTGGGAGACCTATAGTTCTTGTACCCATTTAATTAAAGATGGAGATGGAGATGTAAAGCCAGTCCACAACTTAGAGTCCACGAAGGCAAGGAACTTGTGATGTAAGTGAGCAGGGGAAGAGGCTGCATCGCAGACTTTGAGACTGTAAGTTACTCTACTGCTGACTACATCACTGAGTCCAAAAGTTGCCAACAGCTGCACCAGTACACTTGTTCTTTAGAAAGTAAATGGAAAGCCACAAGTTGCTCATGCTAGCAATGGGATTAATCACAGTGTCTCTTTCACTATTTTTTTTTTCTCTTTAGATGTCATTGATAACTGTAGGCTGGTTACGGATGAATGTCAAAAAAAGGTAAACACTAACAGTACTCCCAGTCCCTGAAAGACTTGACTATCCTGTATTTCTGAGAATTTCTTCAGGATTATTTACACAAACCAGAATGGATGCCAAGTGCTTACAGTCACGCCTGGCACAGAGTAGGCACTCAAAAAACATTCTGTCATTTTCCTTCTTGGAACTTGCCATGGCTGTGATCTGTCTGAACCTGTGGGATTCCTGGCCTGGAATTTGTGCTGCTCCTCACCCCTGCCCAGTACTTGGACATGGAAAGGGCTGTCACTGCTCTCCCTCCTTCCCAAATTGTCTCCAGCAAAATTTGCGATAGGTGCTCCGTCAATATTTGTCCAAGGACTTTTTTTTTGAGGAAAAAAAAAAAGGTCACTTTTGAACAACAAACCTTACTTAAAATGATTATAAAAATGTTTTGATTTCCTTATGTTAGCCAGAGAATTATTTTTAAAAGGTTTTGGTTTTATAATTTTTGCTCTCTTAAATGTAAGAAGTTGTTTCAGCATTTTGGCCGAGTGTCTGTTCTGGCTTAATAAAGACTCAAAATGTGAATCAAATTCACTTCTTTTATATGAGAACCAGAAGCCTTTTTGTAATGATAATTACTAAGAATACAAAGATAAAAATTACCGTTATATTTACTTAATTTTTTACTCAATTATATTTGCAAAAACTAAGGCCTGGAGTGGGCATGTGGCATAATAGGTAGAGCTGGCCTCTCTGGTGCAGGCATCAGCTTCTGACCCACCTCCCTGCCCGTGTACCTGGGAAGCAACAGGGCAAAGCCCAAGTGCTTGGGCTTGCCCATCCTCCTGGGAGACCTGGAAGAAGCTCCCCGGTACTGGCTTCAGCCTGGCCCACCGCCAGCTTGTGCAGTCATTTGGGGATATAAACCAGCAGTTGGAAGATGTCTTTGTACTTTTGCCTTCTAAATAAATCTTTAAAAGAATCAGCGCAGGTCTATTTAATCTCTCCATCAATTCAGTTATAATCTTTACCTATAAAGCATATCTAGAAAATACTTTATGTTGTTTTGCTGTATGTAAACCTAAGCAGATCAATTTGTAATCTTCATGATTCGTTTATTTGCTTTTTTCTAGCTGTTGCAACTGAAGGAAAAATATTATTCTATTGAGGTTGATCCTGATCTTACTGTAGAACAGAAGTACCCTTTTATGGTAGAATGGTAAGTAGGTGTTGAGTAGTAGAGGGTTAAAAAGCTAATAAAACAAGATTTCTATTACAACTGATGTATTGCATACAAATAGACTCATAAGTTATAGCAGTGAATTAAATATTAGAAAATAAACTACAATTCTCGAACAGTCTGGAGTCTGTTTTCCTTAATTCACCATGAAGTTAGTGCCCCTTAATTAAAACAGGAATTTAGGATCTAGAGTTTGAGCTTAGTTGGACCAAGCAGATGACTTCATTGCCAGGACATACACATACTCTGGTGTTATGTGAATCAAAATGCCGCTTCTTCAGAAGGCGACACCATCAATAGAGAATGAACCACTGGGCGACAGAAACGGAGGCAGACACAGGAGGGGCAGTGGGAGTATTTGAGTGTGTTTTTAGGGACCAGGTGAAAAGTTTAGGGAAAAGGAGGAGCTGTTTGCATGGTTGTAAAAAGGCGAGAGAGATTCAATACGCATATGCTAAAATGCTGTAATCACAGGTGTTTTTACATAATTATAAAGCCAGTCACTTTGAATACAATACTACACACTAAGCTCCTTCTCTCTTGCTCACTGAGCAGCCTCTTCTGTACTTGGACATGTCATGAAAGTGCAAACTATGAACAGATGAAAATAATGTTTTCATTTTGGTTCTTATTGCAGTCAGAAATAAGTACGCCTCAAGTTGGATTGAATTCTCCTTTTTAGAACAGCGGGAGCATGCATATCACATTTTGAGATGCTTTGAAACTATTTCATGAGCAGTGAAGTTAAAGAATGGTGTATAATAAAGATGGTTGCTTTAATATGAGCGTTTTAACTGATATTGTTTCTCCACTCCTCCCCTCCCCCGCCACTGTGCTCATAAACTCCAGGTATACTAAATCGCATGGTTTGCTCGTTGAACAAGGGATACCAAGAGACAAACTTAGAGAAATTGTGGCCGAATCTGATGTTATGCTTAAGTAAGTTTCTGGTTTTTGTTGTTGATTTCTACAGAATTGGTGTGTTTTATATGGTTCGGATTTGTCTTTTTAGCTAAAATAATATTCCATATCTGAAATATGCCACTGTCACAAAATGGAGAGTGATGAGGCATGCAATTTAGAATGTGATAGGTTCTGCGTACGTAGAACTCACTGAGATTTAAGTATTAAGTTATATTTCCTGTCTCCAGAATAAAAAATGTAAAAACCAACAACTTATGAAGCCAGAGCCATTTGGGAATTTTTTAACAAAATACTTTTGAATTTTTTAAATGTATTTTTTATTTGAAAAGGAGAGAGGAAGAGACAAGAAGACAGAGCATTTCCATGCACTACCCACTGCCCACACACCACTGCAGCCAGGGCTGGACCATTCTGGATCTCATTCTGGCTCTCCTGTGTGAGCATCAGGGAACCAGCCACCCGAGCATCTCTAGGCCCCCCAGAGGACACATTAGCAACGGGTCAACATTGGAAGCAGGGACTGGGCTTGAACCCACACACGCTGTCAGGGGCTGTGGAGATACCAAACTGCATCTTGCCTGCTGTGCCAAACTCCCACCCTACAAAAATGCTTTCAAAGACATGCAGTATGAATGATTATAGATCATTTGGAAGAGGTTTTAGCCAAGTACCTTATTTCTAAGTCTACATGAATCTACTTTTTGAATTCTCAGACTTTGCAAACTATTTCCAGGAAAGATGAACATGTTGTAATCCATACTTAGATTATTATGTCTGAATTATACATGAAAAGCTTTGATCTTATGTTCAATACAGTTGAATATCAACATTTTGAACTCATTAGGCAGCTCTGATGAAGTGGTTTTTATGTTTGTTTTTTGATTTTTTTTTTTTTGGATGATGCTTTATTGTGATTACTAATGAAGAAGAAAACATTAAATTGTCCAAACATCTCATTCCTTTGTAAGCAGAAGCAGCTTTGTTTAACCTATAGCCCAGAAAGTATAAAAAGGGAAGAACAGGGTGTCAGAGCTTCGAAGGGCCAGACAGCAGAGGTCAAGGGGCTGGGGGGAAGCTCCTCTGGCCGAAGAGATGAGCCGGCTGCCAGGCGAGTGGTCTTGCAGCTCACCCCAAAGGCATTTGTCAAGACGGGATTTAATCCTCTTAGGCCACAGGCTTGTATTCAGACTGTCGGTGATTGTAAGAACATCCAAGTTTGCACGTGCAACTGTGGCTTGCTTAAGTACCATTGCTAGGCCATCAGTAACAGCACTTTTGGATCGCATTCTGAAACAAGAATTATCAGTGAGTTGTAGAATTAGGTAGAGATATGTTTTTTAAATCTGATAAGTGAAAGGAGAAATACTCTAACGATAGTTTGCTTCTCCATCTTGCAGGGAAGGCTATCAGAATTTCTTCGACAAGCTCAAACAACACAAAATCCCTGTGTTCATATTTTCGGCCGGCATTGGGGATGTATTAGAGGAAGTTATCCGTCAGGCTGGTGTTTATCATCCGAATGTGAAAGTCGTGTCCAACTTCATGGATTTTGATGAGAATGTAAGAATATCAAAATAATTATTCATCATCATACTTTTTAAAACTTTAAAAAAATTTTTTTTAATATTGTTTACATATGCTGGAGAAGGATGAACACACATGTGGGCCTCTGATTGGGGTGGTGGCAGAATTAACTTTTAAAATCTGAAAATGCGTTAGTCATGTAATAAGATTTGTTCCCCCATAATGTCTGTTCATTACATTAGGTCAAGTTGATTATTGCAATCATCTGGAGAGTTAACCAGCAGGTGGAAGATTCTTTCTGTCTGTCTGTTTCTCTCTCTCACTTTCCCCTCTCTATGTTATTCTGATTTCCAAATAATTTTTCCTAATCGTTGTTTGAGAAAGAAAAAGCATGCTCACACCTACTGGTTCACTTCCCAAGTGCCTGCAATAACTGGGGCTGGACCAGGGCTGAAGCTGGGGCCAGAAAGTCAGTCCCCAACTTGGGTGTCCAGGACCTAGTTACTAGAACCGTGATGCTGGTTTCCAAGTCTGCAATAGCAGAAGATAGAATCAGGATCTACAGACAGGAATCAAACACGTGTACCCCATTGGGCACCTCAGGTGTCTTAACTGACATCCTAACCACAAGGCTAAATGCATGCCCCTGTATCCATATTTTAAAATAATATACCTTTCTTAAATGTCAATTCCTGAAGTTATAGGCTAATATTAAAATTAGTGAAACTTCATACTGAAGACTTAACACTCATAGATGGGAAGAAACTGAGACAGATCATTTGATTAACAATAATTTATGAAATAAATCAAATGGGATATTTTGATTAGGAACAAAATGGAAAATGAACAGGGAATTTTCACCTGATGTTTTACTGTTTTAAATAGTTACTACAGAACAATTCTCAGAACCCGTTTTAACTATGATTGTGATGAACTTCAGGGCTTTGAGATTTCCGGTTTCAAAGACAGATTTACAAATACCATGAAATACTAGTGACTGTTAAGAACTCCAAAATATGAAAATCCACCAAACAGAATTCAAAACTTACTATTTAAAAACATTTACATTCTTAATAGGGTGTGCTCAAAGGATTTAAAGGAGAACTAATTCACGTATTTAACAAGCATGATGGTGCCTTGAAAAATACGGAATATTTTAATCAACTCAAAGATAATAGCAACATAATTCTGCTGGGAGACTCCCAAGGAGACTTAAGAATGGCAGATGGAGTAGCCAACGTTGAAAACATCCTGAAAATTGGATATCTAAATGATAGAGTAAGTATAAAGTTCTATCACTTGATTTTTCAAAGAAGGGATCAGGATGTTTTATAGGTCATTGCTGCCAGAGGGGCCTGAGAAGGTAGTTGTTTTAGCCCTTCATCTAGGTGACATTCAAATGCATTGATAGCATGCGTGCACGCTACAGGTTCATGGGAAGGGAGAGTGCAGCTGTTAAACGCTAGCACCCCCTGCTCATGAGAATCAGAAACATCTGCAGACACGGCCGGATGTTCCTCACACCAAGTTACCCCTTTGAGAATCACTGGGCTGCAGAGAAATCACTGGGCAAGAAAAGCTACCGTGCAGAAACATTTGTTAATCCATGAGTTTTAAAGGTTTAAAAGTATATATATATATATATTTATTTTTTACCTTTCAAAGGCTTAAGATTCACACCAATGTTATTTGCTTTTTCTCCTCATGTGTTGACTTTATTTTTGTTCTTCTACTCATCAGGTGGATGAGCTTTTAGAAAAGTACATGGACTCTTACGATATTGTTTTAGTAAAAGAGGAATCACTGGAGTTAGCCAACTCTATTTTACAGAAGATTCTGTAAGCCAGCATCCTACAAGAAGACCTCTGTCGTGGGTGCAGTCGATGCAAGAGCTGTTCATCTGTTCGCCTCACTCCAAGACTCGTATTCATAATGTGTTCTTGCTCTTGAAGTGTCCCCTTCTACCTGAAGTATTGAAACCATCGACTAGAAAAATCCTGATCTCCATCTTCTCAATACACTCCTTACCATGCATATATATTTTTTAAATAAAAAAAATTAAAAGAAAGAAGTCTTAAGGCCCAAATTAGAAAAATAATTCCCTGATTTTCCAAAGTTACCTTTGTCGTTCAGTGTTATCTTGCAGTTTTTGAAGAGTCTTTTTTACACCAGGAAAGTTTGTAGAAATTTAAAATGTTTTATGCAGTGATGAAATGATGTGCATGAATTTAATATTGTCATTTTTGTAATCTGGGAAAATTTCTGCTGATGCTGTCACCATCTCCTGCAGTCGTGTGCTGATTGGTTATGTGGGCTTGGGAAAAATCAATATTTACCAGAAAAGATTGCATGTCATATTTGGGGGGAAAAAAAAAACTTGTCTCCACTTGTCACTAATCAGTACAAAGTGTTCTCTATTGGGGCACTGATAATAAACATGAAAAGCTTTTGTATTTCTGTTCTCATCATCCAATGAGTGTTTATTGAGCACCTGCAGGGGTTAGTTCTTTCCACTTTCTGTCCTTCCTTGATAGGTGAACTCCAAGGTCCTTGTCATGGTGGCTATTTAGAGTAAATATTCTCAAATTTTTTGTACCATTAGGCCAAGCTTAAGATGTTTGTGGGGGGGATTTAATCTGCTCTTCAGATTAAAAAGTTTTTCAGATTAAAAACTGTATTAAACTGTATTTCCCTAGTTAAAAACATCAGTAGGGCCCAGCGCGATAGCAAAATAGTTAAAGTCCTCGCCTTGAATGTGCTGGGATCCCATACAGGTGCCGGTTCTAATCCCGGCAGCACTACTTTCCATCCAGTTCCCTGCGTGTGGCCTGGGAGAGCAGTCGAGGACAGCCCAAGGCTTTGGGACCCTGCACCAGCGTAGGAGACCCAGAAGAAGCTCCTGGCTCCCAGCTTCAGATTGGCTCAGCTTCAGCTAATGCAGCCACTTGGGGAGTGAACCATCAGATGAAAGATCTTCCTCTGTATATCTGCCTTTTCAATAAAAAACAAATAAATCTTTTTAAAAAATCAGTAAAGCAGAATGTTCTACTCTAAGTGTACACGTTTCAGAAACAGCTGCAGGCAGGAGACAGTATGGCTGGGTCTGGGGGTGGCTGGAACTGAATAATGCCACGTTAGGAGCCAACACTTCACCCTACAGTCCGGCTTCCTGCTGCTGCTCCATAATAGGTTTTTACACAGTTAGAATTGTCACTATGATGCATCTGACTCTGACTTTAATCCTTTCTCCTTGGAGAAGATATTTATTTTGCCTTCTTCCTGGCACTGCTGATCTTAGAGACTTTTCCCATTCTGTATGCACCAGCATAAGCTTCCCTATTTATTTCACTTTCTGTGTCATGCTTCTAGGTTACTTTAACACACAGAAATATTCTGCATGCAATCCCATACAGACCACAGACTTGGCAGGAAGAATACTAGTGATCAAACAGCAAACACCACTGTGTGTTTTATCCTGCCATGCATGGAATATTTCCAAACCAGTCACTTCCTGGCTTCTGCAGGCAAATGCAGCTTAAACTCATTAAAACTCATGGAAGGGTGAGCATCTGGCGTAGCAGTTAAGACACGTGTCCTAGATCCTTGTGGCTGGATTCAATTCCTAGCCTGGGCCCCACACTCCAACCCCGTGAATACAGACCCTGGCTGATATTAAGGGTTGCTTCAGTAGTTGGGTTCCTGGTGCCCAGAGAGAGTTCCTAGCTTCTAAGCTTCTGGCTGCCCAACTTTCCAGTTTGGAACTGTGGCGGATATTACAGAAGTTAACCAGAGTTTGGGGGTTCTGTGTACACACAAACAGCCATCCCACAATGTCATCAGGTGGAAAGAATGCTAATGCAGACAAATGGCAAACTTGTCAACAGAAGGTTTTCATTGTTTCTGACATGGAGCTGATTCTTTTCAATTAGGATTTCTGTGGCCTCTTTGCATATGATTGTGACTTTCAGAATTGCAACATACAAGATTTCAATGTTTTGTGATCGTGACTTTTAGTTTCTAGTCTTTGGGGATATTCACATGGGACAGTGATTTTCAGGCTTTTTACAGGATGATGTCTGGCGCCATACCTGGGTGTTATTTAATCTGCATCCTGATTTGCTGACATGTCCTTATAATTCCTGAGGACTGCTTGTTCACATTGCCATTTATGTATTCATTTTAAATTTCTACACGTAGAACAAACGTAAGTGTTCAATTGCGTATGCTGGTACCGATCCACCAAAGTCATAACTACCTACAAGGGATTTTTCCAAAGTTCATAGAAAGCACACATTGTGAAAAAAAATTGCATGCATCCCAAATTTTTTCTCACCAAAATAAATCTTTTAATTCCATCTTCCATAAACCTTTTGAAGTTTGTCTTATTATACATCTGTCCCAGTATCTGGCTGAATCAAAGAAATTAAAGGGTCTTCTACAGTTCCAGTGAACAGTGGTAATTATTGCATCCTAGAAGGAGCCTAGCATTAGCCAGTGGTTTTATCCAACTTTAAATTGTACCTTGTGGGGTAAAGCAGTGTTGAGTACCAGAACTGACAATTTTGATAAAACTGGAAAAAAAAAAAAATGTAAGTAATACTGTTTCAGCCAGGCTGAGTTCACAAGAATTCTATATTCCATGGTGTACTTAAATATATTCAAGTTGTATTTTCCCCAAAAGTTTGTATAAGACTTATTTTGTTATTATTATTATTAGTAGTAGTAGTAGTAGTGTTATATATTTTATTGGAAAGTCAGATATGCAGAGAGGAGGAGAGACAGAGGAAGATCCTCTGTTTATTCACTCCCCAAGTGGTTGCACTGGCAAGATTTGTACAAACCCAAAACCAGGAGCCAGGAGCCTCTTCCAGATCTCTCATGGGGGTGCAGGGTCCCAAAGCTTTGGGACATCCTCCACTGCTTTCCCAGGCCACAAGCAGGGAGCTGGATGGGAAGCAAGCCTGTGGGGATTAGAACCAGCTCCCATGTGGGATCCCAGTGCGCGCAAGGTGAGGACTTTAGCCACCAGGCCACCGCACCAAGTCCCCCCGAAGGTTTGTTTAACTACCTTTGAGGCTCAGTGTCTCTGAGTATTTCCTTGCAGAATCAGCAAGGAAAAGATAAACCTGGTCTTCAATGACTGGTTAATCCAGAACACTCTCTGTTACCCCCCGTGTTCAACAACAGCGTAATTTTTGGACTAGTACTGGTATTTCAGTACAAATTTAAGAAATAAAAAGTATATGGAGGCATACGAGGCATGGGATCCAAAATCAGTGACACGTGTATCCAAGTCTTGGACTTCGTGACCTGGGCTATGTTTCTGGCTTTCATTTTCTTCATCTGTAAGGCAAGGTGTTGACCAGAAGTTAAGGATTACTTGAAGTCATTCATTGAGTAAGGCCCTGCAGTGTACTAGGTTCTGGGAAAACAAGTTAATAAATCAGACCATGCTTGTTGCTCTCGAGCTCCCAGTGCTACCAGTTGATACAAAGGAGAAGAATAAAATATAGATAGGACAAATGATATGAAGAAACCACAAGCAACGAGGATTTTTTTTTATTATTATTATTGGAGAGGTGGAGTGAGCCCCCATTTCCAGGTTCACTCCCCCAGTGCCTCCAACAGCAAGAACTGGGAATGAATCCAGAAATGCCACGTGCGTGGTGGGAACCTGGTCTTTCCGCATTTGCAGGAAGCTCAAGGCAGGAGCCACAGCCAGATACTGGATGCAGATGTTTTGATAAGGGATATAACAGTAGACTAAAGGGTATGTTCTATAACATCCTCGAGTCCCACACCAGCTGCCAACGACCTAGTTCGCAGTTAGGACCCAAGATTCAGGTTCTAAGTAAGGGATCTCAGTATGGCTATTGACAGCTTTTCTGTCTGAAGTCCAAGTGGCAACATAAAAATTGGTTGCAAGATGTGATTCAAAAAAGTTCTACGTGGCTTCTCCACCCTAAATGTGGCTCCTTAATTAGCATTCACAGCCCGCCTCGCAGGGCTATGGCCTATAACCACCAAGTAAATAGAAGCAAGTTTTGCCACAGCATCATAAAATGCAGACAGACTTGGGCCTCCAACGTGGACACAGGAACTGAATGCCTTCCTTAGCCATGTGGAGAATGGGAGTGCCCAGGCAGCATTCATCCGCACAAGTCCAAGAATATGTCTATTTCTCAAGTTTCTTTTTTGAGTTTTTGTACATTTATTTTTATTGGAAAGTCAGATATACAGAGAGGAGGATCTTCTGTCTGTTGATTCACTCCCCAAACAGATGCAATGGCTTGAGCTGACCTGATCCGAAGCCATGAGCCTGGAGCCATTGTGGCCGCTTGGGGAGTGAACCAGCAGATGGAAGATTTTACTCACTGTGTCTCCTTCACTCTGTAAATCTGACTTTCCAATATAAATAAATAAATAAATGAAAAAGATTTCTTTATTTGAAAGGCAGAGCGGATAGGGAAAGCCTGAGAAGAGATAAAGCTTGCAAGGGCTGGTTCACTCCCTAAATATCCACAATAACCAAGGCTGGACCAGGCTGAAGGTAAAAGCAAGGAACTTTATCCAGGTCACCCACATAAGTGACAGGAACCCAAGGACTGGGCCATCATCTGCTGTTCTCGGGTGCAGTGGCAGAGAGTTCAATTAGAAGCACAGTAGCCTGGACTTGAATCAGCACTCGCATGCAGAGTGCAAGCATCCCAAAGGCTGGCAATGTTCCACAATGCCTGCCCACATTCTTGAAATTATTTTTTTCTTTTTTAAAGGCTTATTTATTTTTATTGGAAAATCAGACATACAGAGAGGAAATATCTTTCGTCTACTGATTCACTCCCCAAGTGGCTGCAATGGCCAGAACTGAGCTGATATGAAGCCAGGAGCCCAGAGCCTCTTCTGGGTCTCACACATGGGTACAGGGTCACAGGGGTTTGGGCCGTCCTCAACTGCTTTCCCAGGCCACAAGCAGGGAGCTGGATGGGAAGTGGAGGCTGCTAGAATTAGAACCCTAAGCCTGAGGCATCCTTAGCCACTAGGCTAACCATGCCACACCCACATTCCTGAAACTTTAAGGCCCATATTTCCCCAAGGAAACTTACTCTTATTTCAGCCACCTTGTCCCCACTGCTGTCGGAACCAGGTGCTAAAGACAGGGCCAAAGAAAAGCTGGGGGTAGAATGCAAGCATGGGTTTTTGTCTTGATTAAAGGCATGTAAGAGTGTGAAGTGGTACAGTTAACAGTACATTCCCAAATGCAATTGATTTAGCCAGAAGCAAGATTATTAACCAGTGAAATTCTGAGAGTGGACCAGATGCAAAAGGGCTAACAGGCATCACGGCTGAGTGCAGCAGCAGTTAGGATTGCTGTGGCCATTGCTGGTGTCCTAAAACTTTAAAAAATTATTGTAATGGGGTCTGGCATGATAGCAAAGTGGTTAAAATGCTCACC